GACGATGAGCGGCATGTCCCGGAAACGCAGCCACGCAGAGGCCCTGGTGCCGGCCGTCGACACCAGCAAAGAGTTCAGCCTCGCTCCCGTGGCCCCCCCACTCAAGAAACCAGTGAGGAACCAAATTGCTTTTCACATTTCTCATAAGATTTGTTATGTATTTTTGTAGAGTAACTGCTGTTTTTAGTCATGTTTTAGCAGAGAACTTTCTGTTGTCATTATTTCCATTGGTAAATGTTTACAAAATGTCCAGATATTTGCCCCTGGTACACAGCACACCCACACGAATGTCATTGGCCTCGGCTACGTGTATCTTGGCATCGTCCTCGGCAATTTATCGGGAAAAAGGCGCATATCCAAGCTCCATCTTGTGAGAAGGTATTTGATGGAAAGGTGTTGTCCTCTGCCAAAGGGGTAAGGGCGCGCATTTAACACCGTGCCAGAAATAGGCATGACTTAGGGTTGTTGCTGGTCTATCATAGATCACAGCCAATATAATTACAAAGAAAAGGGCCTGGAGTGGCTTGTGAAGATGCTAATTTTATTTGCAAACTTACCTTTCTGTGGTTGTTTCAGAAGAGAAGAAGACATTAATCTTATTGGGCTTCCATAACTCATTGGTTCTGGGGACATGCACACTTGACTGTACTTTTGCTTTGTGAATTTTGTTTACACATCGATGGCTCCACAAAGTATACAGCCACCAAAGCCCTAAGAGACTCAACAAATGTTCTCCATCCATTGATTTTTTTGGATTTTTTTTCTTCTAATTCTAGTAATATCTGTCCTGCTATTATCATCATCATCATCACCATCATCACCATTATTGACATATGATTATGATGAAGTTATTAGAAACAATATTAACATAAAAGAATAAAAAAGGAATACTTCCCAAAAATTCCAAAAAAGAAAGCTAGTACGAGCAGTAATTGAGACCTTGGTGACTCCGTTCTTATGAGGCCATCGACATGTAAACTTAACTGACAAACAAATCACATCAGGCATATCATGTACACACCATCTCGGCATCAATGAGTGAGAAATGCTTTACGCGTTCAAAGGTGAAAATCAACCTGTGTTACATGGCTATGGAATTTTGGGAAAATATGGCCATGGCTTTTGATTTAATTTTATCTGTTCCAAATCTTCAGGATTCAGTAGCACTTGGACAGAGGTATAGCAGAAAGAAACCATCTTTCTCTCTCTCTCTCTGTCTGTCTGTCTCTCTCTCTCTCTCTCTCTCTCTCTCTCTCTCTCTCTCTCTCTCTCTCTCTCTCTCTCTCTCTCTCTCTCTCTCACTCTCACTCTCACTCTCACTCTCACTCTCACTCTCACTCTCACTCTCACTCTCACTCTCACTCTCACTCTCACTCTCTCTCTCTTTCTCTCTTTCTCTCTCTCTCTCTCTCTCTCTCATTTATTGTGTGTACTTTGTTTATCATTTTTCAGTAAAATTACAGTGCAGTGTTTTTATTCATCTTCACATGTCAACAATATCAAGGTGTCTATAAATGGTGTCAATACATGAATGCTTACAGTTTCAGAAGGCTGCAATGATTGGATTGCATTATCCTTTCTTCTTCTTTTTCTCTTTCTCTTTTTTCTGTTATTTCTATTGCTTCTCTTAGAAATGAAAAGGTATTCATTTTTATTTTATGAATAAATTGAGAGAAGTTTCACTCTTTTCATATGCACTTTTGCCGTGTAGAATGTACGCCAGTGTTTATTGATCAGCAGTATCTTTCCTTCTGCTTTATCTCCTCTCTCCTTAGTATATCTTTGCCAAAACATATGGAAAAAAGGTTATTGGTCTTTCAGTTTACTTCTCCGTGATATTTTTTGAGAGAGGGAAAGAGAGGGATGACTAGAAGATTTAGCAGAAGGGAAAACAGCCTGGCAGGGAGAGTTACTAAAACAGATACAAATATCAGATTGAGTAGAAGGGAAGAAAAAGAAAAAAAGATTTGCTAGTTGGAAGATTAAAAGGAGACTGAAATACAAGTTGAGTAGAAGGGAAGAGATATGAAAAGAAGTAGGGAAAATTCACTGAAGGGAGACAGAGTAAAGAAAGAAAGGAATTATCTAAACAAGACACAGTTTAAGCAAAATATACATTTTATCCTTCAAACTGCATATCAGTGAGCACTTCTAGTCTGTCACTTCTTATCATTTACAAGGTTGCAGTAACCGTTTATTTTTTGCTATTGCATGTAGTACAGATAAAACTTTTCATGAAATCAAATGACCATTGCTTTAGATTTATTGGCAGATCTGGTTTGTTTTGTAAAGAAACTAGTAAGAATAAATAATAGAAGTAAGTTATAATAGTGATTATAAGAGGGATCATAGTAAATATAACATTGATAATAGTAATGATGATGATAATGATATTAGTAATAATATCAGTAACAATAATGAAAATAATATGATAATAATAACAAGAAAGTAATATTAATTATGAAATAATAGCAAAAATAATGAGTGATAATAACATGATAGAATGAATAAGGGTAATGATAATGATAACACATACATACCAATAGTTAAATAGGAAACTTCAGTCATTATCTTGTTCACAGAGTTCCCTTGAAAACCAGCTAATTAACTGGATTAGTTATTTAGATCTGTTTTCCAGGCAAAATTCCTTTCATTGAGATCCTAGGCTGCTTAGGTCTTAAACAGCATTCATTGTGACAAATGTAGAAAAAGGTATGAATTAGAATGAATATCTTACTAGAACAAGAGGTGTATTCGACTGGTTTCATCTGTATCTTCGTCATAAACACATGGATTTTGACGATTCATTCAAAACCGGTCAAAAACCATTTCATGTTCTGTGAAGGTATTCATTCTCATTCATACCTTATTTTACTAGGTCATTCTCTTGGGATCTGAGGGTGCCCCAGGTCCTCCACTTTCTACCTCATAATGCTCTAATTCCTCTCCATTCTAAGTCGTAAGTCATTTGATGTTAGTTATAACATGGGTTTGAAAAACATGATTACTGAGTGTATTCAGTATCTTTTGTGTGGAATGTGCTTTCTGTATTTTCAGGAGAATCATTTTTATAAGGTGACTTGTATTTTAGAAATGTGTATTGAATGGGACAAAAGTCTGAGATTTTGAGTTTGCTTTTTTTTTTTTAATGGAGTGTTATAATATTGTACTTACTGTCGTTGGAGGTGTTTGAGGTAAATTAAGTTGCATAATAGTTTCTGAGATTCATTCACCAAGTAGTGTTTGTAAAGGCCTTGAATATCCAAGTCAAAAAAGATAGCTAGTAACAAGCCAGCACTATTATGGGCCCATAACAAATGATGAAAAAAAAAACATGGTTTCAAAATATTCTAGAAATCTTGGTCAAAATATTAGGCTTTCATTTTTCAAAAATAAATTGAAACCTCAAAATTTCAGTAAGCCAGTTTTCTTTATTAATTTGAATTATAAATTGTGATTAACTTGTAATTATATGATTTTATTGGAAGAATCATTTAACACAAAGTTTTATTATGTTTGATGTGAATAATATCTTTCTAATAGCTACCATATTTTTTAATCAGTAGAAAGTATAGTGAAGACTTTATAGTAAATATAGAACAATTTATTTGACTAAGAATTATTGTTAATTACTCTTACCTCATAATGTGTCAGTATTACTAACAGATAATGTAACCAGCTCTATAATCATAATTGGTAAATAAAGGTTATGCTAACGATTAGTAAATATTTGTAAGAAGAACCTCGGCCTCACTCATTAACACCAGTACATAAAACTTCATGTTCATGTAACTTGTATTAAGAACAACTATCTTCCTTGTGGGTTGTATAAGTGAAGAACATTTCTGATTACAACAGCTTGGTAACAATTTACACTTTGACTTCCTTGGTTACAGTTCAAACCTTTGGATAGTGGCCATTTAGGGATTAAAACAACAAAAAAGTTGTTATCTTTGAGAGCCGAGTACCTTATGGGAGGGACATAGTTAATAAACAGCTGATCTTATCATTTGGTTAATCTATGTTATTATGTAACCCTTGCAGCCCCATAGCATAGCGAAGAAGGAGAGTTTTTTGCTGCGTAGGATACAATAGAAAGAAAGCTCAGCAAAAGTTTAATTAACTTAAAGCATTTTCTTCTTTTTTTTCTTTCTTTTCTTTCTTTCCTTTCTTTCTTCCTTTCTTTTTCTTCTTTTTTTCAGATTTGTGGGTGGGTCTTGGTGTATGGATGTGTGTGTGTGTGTATAAGCGAGTGTGTGTGTGTATGTGTGCGCGCGCGGGTGTGCGAGCATGTGTACGTGTGTGTGTGTACATACATATGATAAGTGTCCAGAGATTTACAGTGTGTGTGGTCAAGGTTCACTAAATGCCGTAACAACTTTGATCGTAGGGTTGAAACCACTTATCAGTAATGGTTTAAGACTGAACATGATGAATTAACACAAAAAAGGTTCCTTTGTCCTGTTATCTTTGACATTTGGTTTCTGATGTGTACTTTTTTTTTTGTTTTTGTTTTTTGTTTTTTGTTTTTTGTTTTTTGTTTTTTAGTTTTTTTTACTTTTACTTTTACTTTGTTTCCCACTTTCATTTTTCTCTTTCTCTTCTCTTTCCTTGTTTTTTTCTCTCTTTCATTTATCCTTTTGGGCCGTTTCTTATCTTTTTTCATTTTCTTTTAATTTCTTTCTCCTTTTTTCTTTCCCGTTTTCTTCTTCTTTTCTGTCAAGTCTTTCTCTTTGCTCTCTTTAACTCCTTTTTCTCTACTGTGTGTCTTTTCTTTACTGTGTTCTTTTGTGTTTATTCTTCCTTTTATCTCTTTTTGCACTTTTGTTTCCCCTGTCTACTGTCTCCTTATCTCTTCTGTATACTGTCTCTCTTCTCGCTGTCCTTCTCTCTTTCTTCTGTTATTCCTCATTTTTCCTACTCTTCTCCCTCTCCTCTCTTCTGTCTCTTCTTTTCCTTCTTTCTTCCTACTTTATTCCTCCTCCTCTCTTTTCCTCTTATATTTTCCTCCTCCTCTCTTTCTATCTCTCTTTCTTCTCCCCTCTTCCTCTCCTTTTCTCCACTCTCTTTTCTCCTCTTCCTCCTCCTCCTCCTCCTCCTCCTCCTCCTCCTCCTCCTCCTCCTCCGTCTCCCCCACCTCCCCCTTCTCCTCCTTGTCCTCGTCCTCCTTCTCCTCCTCCTCCTCCTCCTCCTCCTCCTCTCTCTCTCCCCTCCTCCTCCTCCTCCTCCTCCTCCTCCTCCTCCTCCTCCTCCTCCTCCTCCTCCTCCTTTTCTTCCTCCTCCTCTTCCTTCTCCTCATCTTCCTCCTCCTCCTCCACCTCCTCTCCCCCTCCTCCTCTTCCCCTCCTCTCCTCCTATTTTTCTCCTCCCCTTCCTCCCTCCTTCCTCTCTCTCACTTCCTCCCTCCCTCCCTCCCCCCCTCCTCCCCTCCCTATTTGACATTCTTCCTCTCCTTCTCCCCCTCCCTATTTCCCCTCTCTCTCCTCTCTCTGTTATCTCCCCTTTCCCCTTCCATCCTTCCTCACTGATTAATTTCTTTCCTTTCATGTACGAGTGAGAGTGAAATTGTTTGCATACAAAAAAACATAGGATAGAGTAGTAAGGACAGGCTGAATGCAGGGAATGGATATAGTTTGAATGACATACAGAAATGTAGATATGTTTAGAGTATTCATCTTTACAGTGTTGATAGTGATAGATAAGTTATCTTCTGCTTGTGACAGTGGGAATGTAAACAACTCTATAGACTTTGGCACTGATAGAGATGACCGATAAATTGTAATAAAGTGCGTTTTCTTTCGGCAGCTTCGTTCTTCCAGTTTCATTTTCTCTCTCTCTCTCTCTCTGTCTTCCTCTTTTGCTCTTTCTGGTCTTTCTTTTATTAAGGGAAATTAGACTTGCGTATGATTTCCTGCTACTTTTGTGAGAGAGAGAGAGAGAGAGAGAGAGAGAGAGAGAGAGAGAGAGAGAGAGAGAGAGAGAGAGAGAGAGAGAGAGGAGAGAGAGAGGAGAGAGAGAGAGAGGAGAGAGTGAAAGTAGGAAAAAACGAGGAAAGTGGAATGTGCCACCTGAATCTATCCCTATCATCAGGTATGCAACACATCACCTGAAGAGTCCGTATATCAGAAGTTCCTCCGGCATGAGTCATCAGCGCAGGATTAGGTCTCGCCGTTTGGACTTTGAAAGTGGTGTGAGGTCCTTATCATTAAAGCTTTTCAGGTGTCATTACTCTTTGCAGCAGTTTTGACCCACAGCACCTGACCCCTGCCACCTGCCCTGCTGCTTGCCCTGTCAGCAGAGGTCGGCATGTGTGTGCTATATTTATTTTCGGTAATTTTATGAGAAACATGAATTCCCATGCTGGAAGGAGTAATGTGTATGTTTATATATATATACTAACATCCATATACATATAAAGACTTACACTCACTCACACACTCGCTCACTCACTCACTCACTCACTCACTCACTCACTCACTCACTCACTCACTCATGCATTCACTCATGCACACTCACTCACTCACTCACTCATTCATTCACACACTCACTTATTCACACACTCACTCGCACACACTAACACACTCACTCACACACTCACTCACTCACTCACTCACTCACTCACTCACTCACTCACACAATCACTCACTCACACAATCACTCACTCACTCACTCACTCACACACTCACTCATTCACACAATCACTCAATCACTCACTCACTCACTCACTCACTCACACACACGCACACACACACACACACACACACACACACACACACACACACACACACACATACACATACACACACACACACACACACACACACACACACACACACACACACACACACACACACACACACACACACACATATTCTTTTCTTTAATTTTTTTCTATTCTTTCTTTTTCTTTTTTTTTTCTTTTTTGTTAGTATTTTTCCCCAATTCTTTAACTAGTTGAGCCTTGAAAAAAAAACCCTTATATGTTAACCAAAACTTACTCTTTGCAATTATGTTATAGATATAATCAACAAATCACTTTGATATGATGTCCTTCATTACAGAGGCAATGTTCGTTAGAACTTCTTTTCAGATTATATTTATTTGTGGATTATTGTGAAATGAAACCAAGGAATATAGTTTGACAGACTGAAAATGGTACTTGGCATGGTACTGAATGGTACTTTATTTATTTGTTTATTATTGGCATTTATGTATTTATTTATACAGTTTTTCCAATAAATGAAGAGAGAGTTATTGCAGCAACGTGTAGCAAGGTGTGAACGGGAACGAGGAGGTGTTATTCACTCTCGGGTAGTTTAGAAATTTTTATCATTGTCGTTGGAATGTGAAGGTATGGTTTTGTTTTTATCTGAAAATGAAGGTGTTTTTTTTATTCTTATCTGAAAATGAGGGTAATATTTGTTTTCAACTGAAAATGATGGTGTTTTGTTCTATCTGAAATTGAAGTTGTTTTTTTACGTGATTATGTGAATTTAAAAA